GGGGCACTCCCTCCCCCCATGCCCTCCTCCCACCCCCTGCTGCCCTCACCTGGGGCAGGCCAGTGAGGAGGCTGGCGCGGCTGGGAGAGCAGCTGCTGACGGAGGTGAAGGCATTGCGGAAGAGGAGGCTGCGGCGGGCCAAGGCATCCAGGTGAGGGGTGGCGATGGCACTGTTGTTGTAGGCGCCACTCTCAAAGCCTCCGTCGTCCGCTATAGAAGGCGGGAGACAGAGCACACGGTGGGCTGGGCTCAGAAGAGCAGCTTGTGGGAGTGAGGGAGACCTGGGTCCTGCTGCGTGGCCTGAGCCAGTGATGCCCAGGCAGATATGATGCCCGGGGGGCATAATATTCAGCAAGCGAGATACCTGAGTGGGAAGGCCACCAGGCATGTATGCAAACTCGGTGGGCATGCTAGCAGGCAGGCATGAGACCCAGGCAGGCTTGCATGATGCCCAGTTTCATGACACTCAGTGGGCATGCTAGCAGGTGTGACTGGGCAGTCCTGGGCTCTGCAGACACTGCACAAGGATGTGGCCCCACATGCTGGTTCTCCCCCCGTGCCTCTGGGAGAGGGGGAGTTGAAGAAGTCCCTCAGTGGAATACTGTTTAAGTTACAATTAGCTGAAGGGCCTGCCTGAGACCACAAGTTAATCAGAAAGTGACCCTGGCGAAAGGCCAGACCTCAAAAGAGGAAAAAATCGGGTTGCCTGTGATAGCCAGGCTGTAGTCACTCACGCAGGAAGTCTTGTGAACAGCAGGGCTTTTGAGGAACTTGGGGTTTGGGGAGGTCACGGGAGAGGGCGTGTGGGTGGTAGGGGGCTGCTCCCTTCAGCCAGGAGGAGGAGAGGTGAGCCACAGTGCTCCGGGGTCTGACAAGGGAAGGGCAAATTTAGGGGATTATCACTGCTGTGGAGATGACAGCCCCAGGGCCCCGGGGCTGGTCTCTGGGGACTTGGACAGCAGCCCCTGTTCTGGAATCCCCTCTACGATCTGGGCACTGCTGGGTTCTAGAAAGCCGCCCAGCCCCTCAAGGCGGGGCCGGGACCGCAGGGTTAGCCTGGCAGCTCTGCTCACAGGTAAGGGTGCAAGGTCAGAATAGGGGCAGGCGTTTGGTGGGAATGCTGGGGCCGACACCGCCAGACCCCGCATGGTCGCTCCTACCCCTCTCCAAGGAGCGGACCACGAGGAGTCTGGGGGCAGCAAAGAGAGGAGACAGGGAATGAACAGCAACAGGGACTGCAGGGAACAGGAGGGTCAACACTGACCGCTGGTGGG